CAAAAAAAAAAAAAAAAAAAAAAAAACTACTTAAATGACAATGAGATGCAGTGGGGGTCAGAAGACCAGGACTCCCACTATAAATCTTGTAATTTCAGCAAATCAATACATTTTTTCTGAAGCCCATCCTTAGTTTACTCATTTGTAAAGTAAAGTTAGGCCTTGTTTCCTACCTCACACCTTTTACAAAAGTGAAAAAAAAAAAATACTGCACTGGGCATATGTGAATTTCAGTTAACCCATGGCCATGAATTGGGCACGTGACAAAGAACTTGTATAGCCAGTGAGCAGACTGTTTATCTTAAGAGTCCATGTGTCTTCTCAAAAAGGACTACCTCTTTTAGTTTAAGATAAACTAGTAAAGCTTATTTCTTGCAGAGAGCACAGGCCTTTAGATGCAACAGTAAGACCAAAAGCAAAGGCATTATCTTTGGCTCCTGGCTTGTAGCCAGCCTGCAAGATGGCCCCAGTGATTCCTGCCTCCTGGTATTTGCACTGTTTTTAGTCCCTTTCTTTATTGTACCAGGGACAGTCTCTGTGACCAGCAGCATTTGAGAGAAGTGATGGCATGTCACCTCTGATATCAGAGCTTTTTATTTGCGTGTGCACTCTCCACTCTTGAATCGCTTACTCTGGGGGAAGAGCTATGTCTTAAGTAGGCCTATGGTGAGCCTCATGTACCAAGAAACTGAAGCCTCCTGCCAACAACGGCATGAATAATATTGTTGGATTCTCCCCCAGGCATTCTTTCATATGAAACCACAGTCCTGCTGACAGTATAACTGCAACTTCTTGAGAGAGCTTAAGCCAGTATCACCCAGCTAAGCAGCTCCCAGATTCCTGACTCACAAAAATCGCAAGATGATAATTTTCATCAGGGGCAATTTATTATGCAACAATACATGACTAATACAATAATATATCCCCACACATATACTTAAACAAGAGCTGCTGGGTTGTTGGCCTTGCCCAGATCTTTCACCTCAGTGAACTCTGCTAAGAATTCATACCACTTGGCTACTTTTAGCCAGCATTTTGTTTGTTTGATCAGTTTTAGCTTCTTATCATTATTGAAAATGTGGATATCCTATTTTTCTAATTACTCAGTATTCTGCATTGATGGAAGGTTTTAATAGTTTGTGTGTCTGCTTTTAGTTCTCCTCTGCATTCTTACCACATTTTAACATCTATTTTACCATATGTGGCAGATTAAAGATGGCCACAAATTTTTTGAAACTTCTCCCTTCTAGATATGATGTCTGTTTCTCCTCCCCTATTACTCCCCCCCCATTTTTTTATTATTAAGCATCAAATCAATCTTTTCCTTAAGATGGACCAACTTTAACATGATATAGTGAAACTAGTTCATTTACCTATAGCTACATATAAATCTAAAGAATACAAGAAATAAATCTACTTTTTCTCAATCTTATGAAAATTAAAATTTTGCACATTTTCAATCAGAGGGGGAGATTTTGTATGAAGAAGTTAAAATAAGTCAATGGATAAGAAAAAAGGCAATAAAATATATCCAATGTTTTATTTTTTACAATTAAAATTGGGTCACATAGAACACTCAAATATCTGAATTTCTATATCACAGAGCACTAGTCAATGCAATTTTTTTTTTACCAAAAAGATCTTCTAATAAAAAAAAGAAAGGAATATAGAAGTTGAAGACGTCCTTAAATTCCAGTCTCTCTAACCAATTAGAGAAAATCTGCCTAATCTGATCAAAGCCCTCAGCTACAACGAACATAAATGAATATACGAATTTAAGTCAATATTTTTATAAAAATACATACAGTTAAAGCTAAGGAATAAAGATGCAGACATAGAGAATGGACTTGACGACATGGAGGCAGAGGGGAAAGCTGGGGTAAAGTGAGAGTAGCATGTATATAGATACACTACTAAATGTAAAATAGCTAGCTAGTGGGAAACAGCAGCATAGCACAGGGAGATCAGCTCCATGCTTTGCGACGACCTACAGGGCTGGGATAGGGAGCGTGGGAGGGAGGCTCAAGAGGGAGGGGATATGGGGATATATGTATGCATATGGCTGATTCATTTTGTTGTACAACAGAAACTAATACAGCATTGTGAAGCAATTCTACTCCAATAAAGATGTATAAAATACACACACACACACACACACACAGTTAAAGCTAAGACAAAGGCCATTACAGAAAACATCCTATTTCCATAAAAGCTGAGGTTAGTGCCTTTTTGGAATGCTACTTAGAGTACATACAGAAAAGATGCCACATCTTCAGATAAAAGCCTGGAAAGGGAAGCAAGTGTGGTCTGTCTTAGAATTGGTGATGATGGGAATCAAGGGTCACCTGATATACTAGTTAAGGCAGAATAGTGAATTCAATCTTGCTACTGACTTAAGAACAGCAAAGCAAAGTCTAGCTTTCTATAATCCTTAAAATAAGGATTAGAAATAAAGTCTCAGGGCATCTTGCAACATGAATGTTTCCAGAGAACTGATCTTTATCATACTTCTACAGAAAAATCAGGTTTAAAAGTTTGAGAGGCTCCTACAAAGAAAGTAAAAATGAGTCAGTAATTGAGATACAAAAAGCATTCAAGACTGTACTCCAAGATGTTGAGACTTTACCCGAGTTCCTTCTATAGGATAAAACCAGTTATACTAGTGTTTGATCCTGGGCCTCCTAATGTAAAACATGTAGAACCAGAAACACATGTAGATCCCCTGCGGTCATTAGCCTCTTGATTTCCCAGAACACTTGGCTGAGCTAGAGACCCATAAATGGTAAATGGTGAGTTTGGGCTTTTAACCAATTTTCTGCTTCTCTGTCCATTGTTTTCCATCTGGCTCTATGAGTATTTACTTCCCTGTTGATATCAGAAATATTTATCCACACATTAGTCTGTGCTGAGAATGAATGCCGTTTCCTTGAGGTGCCTGTTTCCCCATTTGGAGACAACAGGAGTACACTCGTATGGTCCAGATCAAGGCATCCGCATTGAAAGAGACCTCTAGCCTGGAAATCATTAAACTTCAGCTCCAGTCCTGTCTTTTCCATTAGCCTAGGACAAGTTACTTGACTTCTGTGGGCATGAACATTTCATAGTCATTCTGAGGACTTTGGAGTAAATCATTTTTTTAACAAAGAGTATGGACTTAGGAAGGTTGTAGTGATGGGAGAGAAAACTGCAAACATCTGGAAATGTAGTAGAACTTTTTTTTATTTTTTTTTTTTGCGGTACGCGGGCCTCTCACTGTTGTGGCTTCTCCCGTAGCAGGGCACAGGCTCCGGACGCGCAGGCTCAGCGGCCATGGCTCACGGGCCCAGCCGCTCCGTGGCATGGGGAATCTTCCCGGACTGGGGCACGAACCCGCGTCCCCTGCATCGGCAGGCAGACTCTCAACCACTGCGCCACCAGGGAAGCCCAGGAGAACTTTTAAGTTGCTCTTTTTTGCTGACAAGTTTAATCAGATTTTTAGAGGCTTGTGACTTAAAATTGAAAACCACTGGACTAAACACTTTTATTCTATAGACATAAGTTGAATACGCTCGAGGCATTGGGTCAGGCAAGGCAGAAAATACAAAAATGAGTGGGACAAGTAACCAAATCATCAAAATCAAATGTACAGCACATTAGTGCCACAGAGAAGAACAGACTGTAGTTAAGTATTTAAGGAAGTGAGAGATTACATCTGTCTGGAGGCAGGAGAGTGGGAATTAGAGAAAATAATTCAGGTTTGTGCATGTTAAGGGAGCAAAGCATTTTAAGTACAGAACATAACATGAA